GATAGCTTCGATTCTTGTTGGCATTGATTAAAACAATTTACGGCCGGTCACAATACTTTGACGCTTTAGTTATCCTTAAACATTCTCAATAGTATTGAGGCCGGTAGAGTGACTTGACTATTCAGTGACATGCAAGTAGTGCTCTCGGAACAAACTTTTCACCAAATTGGATGAATATTTCCGATCATTATCTTGCTGAAATTTCCATAGAAGTGAGTCATTGACTTTGCCATGCGGTATCATTACAGTCTCCAATAAGTTTTTATATACAAAACTTTGCCTAATGTTTTTTGAAACGTATCAGACCGAGACCCTCTCAAGAAAAGCAGCCCTATATTGTTTTTTTAGTAAAACTAATGTGGAATATTTTTCCCTTTGGTCGGCGTGCATTTCTTCCTGCATTGTTACCAAACAAATTTGCTTTTTGCCTTATCGTTCCAAAGAATATTTCCGCACACTTTCTCCCCTTCTGATCTGGACTAAAGCTTTTCATGGGCTAAAGCAAGGTCCTTCCTGTGCTTCAAATTAATTTTTATGAGTAAAGAACCGTTCCGAGGTTGCCCTTAGAATAGTTCGAGATGATAGAACATCACCAATTTCATTGGAATATGCTTTATGGCGATTTGAAAGGAATATCGCTTTGCTAAAATTGTCATTCGATTATCGGAAGCAAGAGAAGTTTTTTTAATTGCTTCGCGACTCTTAATATTTTCTTTCAGGGCTTAAAGCATTCGTGACAGAGTTTTGCTGGTGAACTAGTCGTTCCCTTCTTCGCTATAATGATGTGCCCGTCCCATCTAATATTATTATAAAAATTAATTCATATTGGATTTCCTTCTCAAGAAATACGATTCAACACTTTACTTTTTACAAACTTAAAGGCGATGAATCACTGGATTTCACTGTCCAGGTAAAGAAACCCCTAAAGTAATATAAAAAGAGTCAATTTTTTACAGCGAGAACTAGCTCGCGTGATATGGTTGGAAATGTTGAGCGGACTTTGTGGAAACTATCTTTTACAATTTCCGTGTTATAGTATTGAAAAATGGACTTTGCATTTACTTTTCTGTCCATCAATGCATATATTCGCTGGATTAGTTCATTAAAACGAATGTATACGACATTTAAAGGTATCGGCTTCTTTATGTTGAATTTTTAATATTAAAAGACATGTCAAGTGGCCGGATGCCATAAATGCAGTGTTAATATATGTAAATAAAATACATTGTATTCATCTATGTATGTTGTTTACAAGTGATTTATTTTATTTTTTCAAATTTCTCCTTTTATACTTATTTAGTAGTGTGAAGCTTATACTATTTGTTTCTTTAGTTACTTATATAATGATTTGTTGTTTTTTTTGTTTTTGTTTTTTTTTTTTCTTGTTTTAATAATTTTCTTTCTATTAATTTATCTATTGCGAAATGTATTGGAAAAATTTGCTCTTAAGGGCTTATAATCAATACGAGATTTTACTCATTTTAGTAAATAAATTAACTTTTAAGTAACTAATAAAATCTGTTAAGGTTCAACATTTAAATACACGCAACAATACAAAAATTGAAAGAGACAGAGATAGTTGTAGATAAAGTAGAATAGATAAAGGTTGATAAAGAGATAGAGATAAAGAGAGAGAGAGCGAGAGAGAGAGAGAGAGAGAGAAAGAAAGAGAGTAGATCACTCTTTACATAATATAAATGAAATTTAAAAATTGATTTTAATCACAAAACATTTATTAGTTAACGATAAACATTTTTAATAAATCGTTTGGATATTTATTACGAGTATATGGGTAAAAATAAAAGCTTTATTAATAAAAACGAACAACGTCTTCTTCTTATTTTAATCTAATACGTATGTGTATGTATATATTTAGTTTCTTTGAATGCCATTTTTTAAGTAAAATTTCAAAAATTTTCTTAATCTTTGTTTGTGTTTTTATTTCTCTAAATTTAATTTTTGTTAACTTTAAGTATTAAAATGAACGGAAAATTTCAATTGGAATTTTTTAATCAATACACTCGCCTGATATTATAAAATAATCAAAAAATTATGAAATATTTATTCAATTATGTTATGAGTCCCCGTATACCTATATATATTATGAATTATATCGATAACGCTTGCCGACGGAAGTGTACTAATTTTTTGTTTAATTTTTCCGTTAATGTAATGCGTATAAGTTTACTTTGAGAATCTTTACAAGCAAAACAGGCGAGAAATGAGAGAAATTACATTTATTTATTTATTTATTTATTTATTTATTTTTATTAAACCAACATCAAAGACCCAACATTGGTAGCAAGTATTCAATGTATTTTTTATTTTTTTTTTGATCAAAAAACAAAAATTTATTTATGTAATTTTGTAGGTTTTTATAGTTCGTTTGTTGAGAGTTAAAATTGCAATTCATTTCTTCACTAAATATAGTTTTTAAGACCTTAAACTGTGAATGGATGGATGGATGATTGTCTTACAAATTGTCTTTCAAATGCCCAAGGATATACCCTGATTGTGATGTCCGATCATAACTTATTTTACATTTTGGACAAAAAAAAAAAGAAAGAAGAATAGGTGACTGAATCGTGACATACGTTATTACATTTTGGAAGAAGTATTTTTGTTTAAAAAAAAAAAAAAAAAAAAAAATGGAAAAATACTAAAACACGAGTCAACTCATATAGACATAGAGGTATACCCTGTGCGCAAGATCGAAGCTCTCATTTATTTATTTTTTAATTATTCACATACGATATCTTTTATAGAGTTACTTTTTGAGGTTATGTTGTGACATATGTTAAAGTCTGCAATTTTATCGTAGACCAACAGATGCTTTTGAAAATGCATATAAAATTCATGGACTTACGTATATCACGATCACTAGTTTATAATTCTGCTAATGCAAGAACTACCCAATATTTTGTAAAAAAGCTCCCACAAAATTGACGCAAAGGAATAAAATAGAATACTACGACTGTATATGAGGGTCTTCAGCCGGCACGTTCTCAGACATATTTCAATTTTAGATGGATTGTTTAAAAACATTGAAGAAATTCGGCCCTCGGCACTCAGACAGAGATTTAATTTTAACGGAATAATGAGTTAAGGCCAATGAACTTCGACGATGGCCGAATTGGTCATAACTGAAGATCACATTTGGAAGAGAGTTATTCAATTTAATTCAAGAATTTCTAGTTTAATGTCTGTGCCTGGATATCATCAATTTTATCTTAGATTTGCACAACTCTACAAATCCTTCTAGTTTTGTATTGGGCGATAACCATATTCTACATACAGGACAATAGACGATGATTTTATTTTCAATGAACATTTTCCGAGTTTAGGTCTGTGTTAATTAGCTCAAAAAAAAAAAAAAAAAAAAACAGAGAAAAAGTATGAAATTTTAAAAAATTATTGAGGCCCAGAAGGAATTAACTTATGTTTAGTTAATAATGTTTTTTTTTAATTTAAATTTTGAATCTAATTAATGTCTTGGAAGGAATGATTTGTTAGAGACTTTTATTTCAAGTTCACATAAAATTAATTAAAAAAAAAAAAAAAAAATTAAAATTAAAATTAAAATAAAAGTTCAGAATGTGAACGAATTAGTTAGTTATTGCTATTAAAAAATTTCCTAATATTTTTTTATTATAGTTAAACTTATTGAAAAATATCAGCTTAACTTAGAGAAGAGAATTTAAAGCTTTGTATGTTTAACAGTGTCGGTCCAATAATTTTGTATTGTCATGGCCTCCAATGAATTTAAAAATGAATCATTATCCAGGCTATACATTTCATCGGAATTATCCTGAAATTTTCATTAAGATTCATTTAGACTATATATATATATATATATATATATATCAATTATATAATAAAATTTTAAAGCACTTACACTAACACGCATTGTACTATCATCGATGTAAACACTCGAGTCCGGTTCACTTAACGCCTGAGGTTTATTTAAGAATCGTCGACGATACAATACAATACTGATAGTACCTACGGTACAGCAAATACCGAAAACGGTAAAACATATGGCGGATATGGCTCCTACATCCATAAAATAGGTTCGCTGCATTTAAATTATTAAGTAAATAAAATGAATTTTTTATTAGAAATTTTAATAATATAGCAATCGCACCTGGACCGATAGCGCTTCTGATGATACGTTGCCCTCATCATTCATATCGTAATCATTGGGTGTTGTTGATGCTGATCTCGTTAAAAGATTTTTCGAATCTGACGAATAATTTATAAAACGCTGTATATGTTTGTACTCTGCGGACAATCCCTTCGATTTGCGGGAACGATGCTCAGTATCAACTCTACGTAATTCGTCCTGTTTATTAACATTTTCGAGAGTAAAAGGCATTTTGTGAGTTCCATGATCATTATTATTATTATTATTATTATTATTAATATCGGTTGTTGTAACGCTATGCGATGCTGGTAAGTGAGCTGCCATTACATTTAACCATTCAATGGTTGATTTGATTGTTTGCTCATTGTTATTATTATTATTATTATTATTATTATTATTATTGGCATTTCTCGACATTTGATTTGTCAAGATCATGGTGGTGGTGGTGGTGGTGGTGGTGGTGGCAGTGCTGCTGCTACCACTGCTGCTGCTGCTACTGGCATTCACCACATTAGAAGATTGACTATCGTTAACGTCATTCGTGGATGATGTTAATGCTATTGAATTACTTGAAATATTTGTAGAATTTATTGAATTTGTACTTAAAAATTTATTATTATTAGCATTACTGCTAAAATTTGTGTAATTATTTTTCTCCGCTACCGTTTCAGAGGAAATATTTAAATTTCCTAAATTTTCATTTTCAACTAAGGTCCTATTATAATTCTCAGCTGATCTTTTCACTTCATTCTGATCGATGTTATTCCCAATTTTATGTTGTTTTCCCATTTCCCTTTCTCCACAATCATCACCACCATCATTATCATTACCATTATCATTATCATCATCATCATTACCATTATCGTCATTATCATTGTTGTCATCATTATCATTATCATTATCGTCATCATTATCATTATCTTCTTCTTCTTCGGTATCGTTGTATTGTTGTTTTTCTATTACTCTATTATTCTGATTTTCGTTGCTGTTTATTTTTAAATTGGAAATTTTAGTTCCTTTGCTATTATCGAGTACGTTCACTGTATGAAGTACAGTTGTTTCAGCTGCTACATCCATGTAGTTACTGCTAGAATTAAAAGCTTTAGTTGCCCAGGCCACTGCTGTTGTTGCCTGATATAATTTCGTTATTGAGGCTTTGCTTAATGGCTTATTATTTTGATTGTAATTCCTTGAGGTGGTTTCCTGACTGGGATATGTGTGTACAGCCACCATTAAATCGAAGAAAGCAACTAAAATGATATCATCCATATTCAATATAAAAATTAAAATTTCCTATATCAACATACATATATACTTACGGCTTAAAAATGTTATCCAAAACCAATGCGACCACCAATAGAAAGTCATGATATTTTAATTACTTTAATGGTTCTGACTTTTTGAAAAAGATAATCTCTAAAAGAAAAGAGAAAAAAGAAAAGAAGAAAAATACATGATGTAATTTTCATAATTTTACACAACTATTCATTCATTCATCATCGTTTTAAGCCTATTAGCATATCTTAGCGGCGCAATGATAAATTTTATGATTGTATAAGAGTCCGGTTATCATGAAACACTCTGTTTCGATGTACAATTAACAGATATGTGTTTCTACATCATTGCAAAAGCTGTTAAATGTCAGCAAATGACGTTGTTCGTTGCTCGTTGTTGTTGTTGTTGTTGCTGCTTAATTTGCAAATAAATTAGAAACAAAAATAGGGACATTTGCTTGAACATAATGATAAGCTCGTGTTCAACGGTGTATATTTGTACGCCGGCGTGCGTGTGTGTGTGTGTGTGTGTGTGTGTGTGATAGTTACAGAAGAAGTGAAAACCTATAGTAGCTAACAATTGTAATTTATTTGTTATTGTATGTTTTGCTTTGGTAATAGCCCGCCTATAAGTAGGAAAGCAATGAAAAAGGCTTATGACGGCAACAAATATGATGCGAAGGTGAATGAATAATGACAAAAACGGAGTAAGAAAATTAGTGAAGAACACTTCTGCTCTCATAAGACTCATAAGACTCATATATGTCAAAAAGTTTAAAAAAAAATAAAATACGGGAGTAAAAGGTTAGGACGAAAGTCATAAAAATATACAAACGTTAGAATCCTTTTATTCAATTAAGTAAGGAGAGAGTAAGAGAGAGTTTTCTATAAAATTTTGCGCTCTTTTCGATAAAGATAGAAGAAGGAACATTGATTGGGTCGATGGAAACTATTTTGTGCCTTTTAAAGGCATGGCCAAGGGCAAGGGCAAGGGCAAGGGCAGTTGTCTAAAGTTATAGGCAAAAGTGCGTTTCAGTCAATTTGCAAAATAATTGTCACTGCAGGTAACTAATTGACGATTCTGTTTATAAAGGAAAAAGAAATAATAAAAAAATAAAATTTTTTCTCTGGCCATAAATCGGTTAAACACTATCTAGTATCTAAAGAGCCATTAAATTATTGCACGAGGCTGAGTACAGGCACGTGACAAGGAAGTCTTGTATTTCACGAAAGCAAACTTAATAGAACAACAATATTCGAGCAAGTTATTAAGGCTACATTCAAAGAAAAAAAAAAAAAAAATAAAAACAAGAGAATAGCATTTTGATAAGTAAATATTAAAAAAATTATATAATGAGAAGAGTATAAGGATGGGTATGAGGGAAGTTACGGCCGCCGTCGAATATAACTTTCTTACTTGTCATTTTTGTCGATTAGTATTCTGGAGTCTAGGACCATGAAAACGCCTGGCCATGTTCAAATATTTATTGCTCCATCTCATTTCTTCAAGAGTTAGTTGCAAATTTAAAACTCTATCGATTGCAACTACGTGACTAAGTAAGTAGGAGTAGTATGAAAATGAATATATTTCTAAAGATGAATTCATAATTCATCTGCATTCCAAAATTGATTTGTTCAAGTCTTGCTACAAGCACTATAAACTTTCGAATCGCTCTTTACCTTCATTTCTACTCAGGGGATTATCGTATTTTTGTTTACAAAAACATCTGTATTAGCGACATTAGAATTAGTTAGACAAGACATAAGGACTTTAATTTCCCTTTGAGGCATTCAGTTGACATAAACAATCATATTCTGCACCTATTTATTAAGCCAATATCTCGCGAGCCGTTGCCTAATAAATTTGGAAAAGCTCATCTAAGTAAGTATGTAAATATACCGTAAAATTTTAGTATTCCTATACCAGGATAAGTTGCTTAAATAATTAGCTAAGAAAAAGTTGAAAAAAGGTGGGGGAATATCGTCGTAATGCAAAGAAAGTTTCTAGAAATTTTATGTGGCTGCCTGAAAACTTTTCCGGACTTTATAGCTGGACTAGTTTGCCAAAAAACATTTCAGTTTTCGAAGAAGGATAATTCCCGACCGAAACACTTTCAAGTAAATATTAAAAAATTGTTTCATTCGCCACAGTGCAATTAGATAATCTCTGAGCGAGTGATTTCGCTTGATGATGCTTCTTAGGAATAAGAGAGATTTCGCTTATGGCATAGTATAAGATCGTTTTTTTTTTTTTTTTTTTTTTTTATAAGAGAAATGCGACTATCGATCGGTGTGTGGACGTGAGGGTGCGTGTTTGAAGCATTCAATGCATTCAATTAATTCAAGACTCTTTGTCAAAATATCCTAACTTGGCATTTAATTGTTTACGTGCGCAAATTATTTTCCCTCTGGAGGCGTGGAAGCAATGCGTTTTGCATGCGTCGAATTATTATTCATTACGTTTCATCATAATGCTAAAGCACTTAAGTCAATACACTCGCCGATATATAAAAAGAGTTTCAATTTCTTTAATATCGACGTCATGATCGCCATATCGATCTATTTTGTTGCTATAGTTTATTAAGAAAGCGAAATTGTTCAAATGAGTAAATGAATGCAACAAAATCGTATTCAATGGAAGAAGAGAAAATGAAAACACAATGTTAATGCGTGCGTGGTTAACTAAAGTAAAGATGATCGTGCTAATAATAAAGTTACAACATAAATTAATTTACTAATAATATAAAATATATCATGGTAATCGGATATGAATTGAACGATAATGCAATTTAATCGAGTATTAAAATGTAAAGTTTTTTATTATAAGCAACTAAGGTTTCACTTTCTTTCCTAAGACTTAAGACTCTAAGAGCACTTACATACATACAGCATTCGGCATACGGTATACGGCATACGGCATACGATTTAAGCTAAATGTTAGATAATGTTTATATTAAGAGTTTTTTTTTTTTTTTTGCGCTTTTTTTCTGTTTAAATAATGTGAAGGTATAAGTAGAAGGCATTTGTGGCGTCAATCGACACGATTTGAAATGGCTATATGCTAGTAGTGTGTCTGCCTGCCTGACGGAACCTTGGCTTTGATTATACCTTTGCCATTTTTTTTCCCGTTCATTTTTCTGTTTTACATTGCACTTCAATGTCAGTAGGGTTTCATACAAAGATAAAGATGAAGAAAAAGAAGAAGAAGAAAAAGAAGAAGATGTATTCATTTGCGAGGTGGAGAGGTGGTAGATGGCTTTTCGTTCACACAGCCATTAATACAATTGAAAGTAAAATTTCAAAATCACATTGACTTGACAATGTGTGTGTTATATAAACAGACAGAAAGACCGACATAGACAAACAGAGAGTGAGAGAGATATATAAACAAACAAAGAAACAAACAAATAAACAAAGGAGCAAACAAATAAAGAAACAACCATTCATTTGTTAATTCTCCCTCAACCCTTTCGCATACGTTAGAAAGTGTTTTTCTTTTCCTTTGTGTTTTTTTTTTTTTATTCCAATGGGAAATTTTCTCAGCGCACAATATATATGAAAAAAAAAGTATAGAAAGAAATCAACTCATTATTTCCATATTTCCAATTAGGCAAAAAGTTTGCTTGTACTTGTGCTGTTAATTATACGTCTTTTCATTTTATATTTATTTTAATTTCGATATACATTTACATAAAAATTCATAACATATACAGGTAGGTAGCTAGCTAGCTGACTGAGTCAGTTTAATTTTTAATTATTTTTTATTTGCGTTTTTTTTTTTTTTTTCTTTTATGTGAGGGTCATTCATTCATTCGTACAAAGCAGCAGCTTATGTGCTATATGGTGCATAAGACACTTGTAGAAAAAGCGCGATAGCGGTGCGGCATAGTTAATTAAAATGCAGGCACACCCGTTGCTTTTTATACCCTACATAATCTATGTTAATTAGATTTTCAACTACAAAAACCAATCTCTACACACGGTCTATCTCTTTCTCTTCGCGATGATCATATGCGAAATAATTTTGTGTCCATGACCGAAGCATAGAACAATATATGAATTTATATGAATGAATTTACATATATATATATATATATATATGTATAGATATGTGTACATAATAGATCGTTAATAACTCCTGGGGCTATATATATATATATATATTTTTATTTTTTTTTTTGTAAAAATCGATTGCATTTATGCAACATGATCTCGTTTAAGAGACATACAAGAGATTGAAAGTTTTTACGGAAGGATTCGCCAAAATCTCTAAAATACATTTCAATTGCCCCAATGACGTTGTGTAACCTTGATCAGCATCAAATTGTTAATCGATTTAAGATTGTTTGTCTGTCCGTCTGCGCGAAATCTATCGTAAGCACGCTCTTAAGAAAATGCAACTGTCGCGTTTAAGTTTGTTAGAAACGTTGCAAGTTCTTGTACGCAGGTTGGTACTGAAAACTGGTCAAATCGGTCGAACGGTTTTACTGCAGTATAAGGCAAACTACGAACTAATTTGTTTTCTAAAGATGGCCTTGTGTTCACTATTTACAAACGGGACACAAAATCTTCGAAAATTTGCACATGTATTGTATAGGCGATGACATACTGCCTGTACAAAAATGGAAAAAAACAATCAGCCACGCCTATCCAACTTTATAGTTTTTTTTTTTTTATACTTTTATGACGCCAAGCTTCAAACGCTTGTAATTTGCATACAAATCGTATCTTGACTCGTGGCAAATTTGGAATGCATCCCAAATGGATCTATGTGTCCGTTGTCCTAATGTGTGATCCGTGTGGTAAATATTCTCCCAATCGCAAAAATATCGCCATTAATTTTCAAAAAAATCTGAAAATAAATAAAAATCGGTCGGTCAAAGGGCATGCCCACGACACTTCATAACATAGAACATCTTGGTTTTCTGGCTATTTTGCTCATTGCTCCCAAACTATAGCACGTAGATGATAAGAGCTTTCAATTTTATTGTGCAAAAATAGAAAAAAAAACAGCCACGCCCACCCAATATTATAAAGTACGCAAAATTAATTTTCTTAGCGATAGGTATAAAAAATTTCACAAGTCACTGCCGGATATAATGTATCCCTTCTACAGAGCGTGTAAAGAGTCGATATGTATGTATGTCTTTCCAATGAAAAGCAAAAACAAAAAAACAAAAAAAAAAAAAAAAGACGGAACAATAAAATTATGAGGGCAATGTTAAGCAATCGGCTGACAATATTATTATCTAGAAATTTGATTCGTGTCAACTTAATAGTTCGTGACATTTGCACACTTCTTTGTAAGTAACGACCTTTAGGTAATAAAATTTCAAATTACTGTAAATACGTGACGAAAAGCCGTATAACTGAATGCAAGCTTAAGCAGCTCATCGTACTAGAATGAATTAAGCATGATTTACATTTGCTTAATAATTATTTACATCTCTATAGTGAACTTGTTCCAGTTGCACTTATTCGTCAAAAATTGAATTTTATTTATGGATTTAAAAATTCGGAAATACTTAGATATATGGATGTTTGTATATGCGAACTTTAGAGGTCATAATATTGCATGTGATTGTCAAAGTTTGTCACTTATTTACATCTTAAGTTGGATTTTAGATCATCATCATCATTATCAATGTAAGAAAATTATTGTTGTAGTAACATTACATGAGATGATCTACGACAATAATGAAACAACAGAGACAATTTACTTGCCTGCGCGTACGTATTTGCTTAACTTGAAATTTTCTCATAACAAATGCGAAATGCAAGCAAACTTTCTTTTAATGGATATATCCGATAGCCAACCGATCGAAATTACCTTTCTAGATAACTTTGTTGATCAGTTTTAGCTGGAACATTTCTCTCGGAAACGATCGGGAATTATTGATGAAAAATAATTGAGAAAATTGAGTTAAGAGAGCTTTGCATTAATCCTTCCAAGGTCATTAATATATGCTACATAGATGAATTAACAAAATTAATAAGTACATGTCCCGAAATTTATGCAAGTTTTGTATTTGCCATCATTTGTGCGGAAAAGTATTAGGAAAACTAAAGAGAGATTAGTTGACAGCTGAAAGTAGAGCATTGCACGAATTTGCTCTTCGGTGCAACAATATTGCAAAAAAAAAAAAATATAAAGATAGCTTGGCGGGACCATAATTCGCAAATTCGATACAAAATAAATGGTCGTCAACTGTGAAGAGAGCACTCGACTCCATTGGATTTCGCCTTCTAGGCATATTACATGGCAAAGGTCTAACTGCTAACAAGTCCAGAATTTCAGGTGCGTTGAAGGGGAAGGGGATTCAAGCAAGTTTCATTAACGAAATTCAGGCACATGCAGTCATGCGAAATAGTCAACAAAGGCCAACAGACCCTTACGAGGCTATTTTTACGTATAAGCCTATCCTAGGCACTTAGCCTATCCTATGATCAAATAAAAAAATTGCAATTAAAAAGCAAATAATTCCGTTTTCTATATATATACAAATCTTGCGTATGCCTTAACTCCGCTTATACAAACGGCCGGCATCTCATTGTTATGATCAGGAAAGATTCGTAAATTCCGAAACATACATCGATGCGATGCAAGCAATTATACAAATTTATATTTGCATAAAATATATTTCTCGAACATTCGAACAACTTTCTCATGCCATTCAAATCATTTTAATCTTACAATTATATCTATAGTATGCATATATATATATATATATATATATATATATTAACAATTTAGTATTCTACGCTAAGGTGCTTTAAGCATTCTATTCGATTTAGATAATTTTCACGTTTTTGTTTGTGCACATGCAGCGTTATAGTTAAGTTGTTATTATAATTCTTAGCTACTGATCGTTTTCAATGACCTTGTGCATGTCTGCCTATTACTTTAGATGATAGCCTATGCCTTCGCGCGACTCCGCGCATTATATATTTATTACATGTGCCTGCAAATCTATTAAATGAAAATATAATTTCGTTTTGCACATAACATAACATAGTCATCCGGGTTTCGGTGAAGAATACTTTCCATTAATTTTATGGTTGTGGATATAAGTAACAAGTGCAAGTAAGGTATTGATTATTCAAGTTATTAGACATGATGAGGGCATTCGCGAACAATCGATAGACGAAGCCATTGACGTATTTAAAAATTATATTTTCATTATGTCTCAAACGGAAGAGTTCAAAATGGCAAAAGGGTTTTAAAAATAATAATAAAACAGTTTATGCTTTTTTTTTCGCATTATTGGACTACAAATGTGAAAGGTGCCGTGCACATGAACTGTGTAGATCGTATACGTTAAAATCTAAACTTAATCGTTTTTTTTTTTTTTTTTTTGGATTCGCATTGCCGATGTCTTATTTAAACCAAAATTTACGATCCATTAATATTCGTCAAATAAATAATGTCGCCTTAATCGGCTGCTAATCTTTTTCATGTTTGCATTCGTCTAATTTGATTGATGTAGAATAGCAGCCGGTGTGCTATACATGCTTTGTTTTCTTTTCAAGATGAATATCTGTTCCATTTCGGAACTTATTGAATGACTTTTGAACATTGCTATAAACCCCATTTTTCTTCTTTTTTTTTTTGAATTTTTTTCAATGAAAAAATTCAGCTTGAATTCCAACCTGCTTTCTAGGCGTATGCAGGCTAAGGACTACATATATTTTTCTCTGTCATTCTTATTAGTTGATAGCGAGATGTATTAGCGTTGAAAGTCCATTTTTTTGTCGCCTATATGGCAAAGCGAATGTCGAAGATCGTCGATTCTCAATCAATTGATTTTCAAAATAGTTAGTAAGTAAATCTTTCTAGTAATGTAAATAAAACTTTCGTAGTCGTTTCATATTCAATCGATCTAAGAATGAGTTTTTTTTATTTATTTTTTTTTTATTTTTTTTTTATGATGAGTGTAATTTTGCTTACCTTAATGAAAGATTTGAAGGGAATCTGTTACAAATGCAAGGTCCCTTAAAAGAACATCATCGAGCTAAAATAAAAAAAAAAAAAAGTGAAAAGCAATTATAAATAAAAGCAATTTTATTAAATTAAATTTGTTTCGCTTTATACGGCATTCCCACTCAAAGCATTTACGTTATCATCGTAAAATCGTAAATTGAATGAATGAAATCGCATTTGCATTTAAGCAATCAATAGTCCTTAACCCTAAGTGTTGAAATAAATCATATTACAATGTCTCGTCGATTGTGGTTTGCGTTTTCATTTCACCCTATCATGGCATCACGGTTAACACCAATCATATATTGGCAGACAGTCATGTCTATATTATAATAAAACAGAAAATTTATGGCACATAATTTATGAATGAGTTCTCACCTGCAAACATCATGCATTTCATTTTTTTATAATAATAATCGATAAATTTTTCAATACGATAAATACGTTAACACAATTGAAAAACTTTTCTATAAAAAATATACTCACATATGTATGCACACATTGAGTGTAATAGAGTGTGCGTCAGAATGTGCTTATATTTGCATACAATTTCGTAAAAGCATATTGTTTCCTTTGAAAACATATATAATTTATAAGAGCCTAGTGGCTCTTATGCATATGCAAATCTTAAAGATTAGGTCTAGGAAAGAAGGCTTAGATCAAATGATAAGATCATTAAGGAAATTGAAGCAAAAAATTGACAAATTGCTTCATAAAGAGATCTTCAAAAGGTTACGTACTATACTATACATTGACATCACTTATTACATTATACATATTATACTGACATATATATTGACAGATATATATACTGCGTCGTATAAAAAAGACAAGACCAATTTAATTGTTTTCCTTTTTTTCTTCACGTATTCCGACATGTTTTTGTCAATAGCTTCACGCAAACAACGGATAATATTCAAATAGTATTCCTTGTGTTTCACTTTTGCACGGCGAAAAGAAATCGTAGTATAGAAAACCACGATAATCGAGGAAAACTGTTAACTCTAAACTAAAGGTATTGGCTTATCGTTTGCACGATATTCGCACGATTGATCGATTATATGCGTAGTCTTATCTCTCTCATGACCGATTGTCAATCAGAAGTCATCTTCTCCCACACATTGTTAAGAAAAAAAAACAAAAAATTTGTTGCGGATGAATAAAGCTTACCTAGCTAACCGGGTGAGCGTAATCTATACATACATATATATATATTCAAGGCTGGTCTGCACCCTACCCTATCTATGGTTTCCATTCGACTAAACGATAACTGTAATCCATTTCCCAGTAAAGCTCATATAGATGATAAAGAAATAGTCATTCATTGTCATCATTGTTCTGAAGTCATAAAAAAAATTGTGAAATATTTTTATCGTGTCGAGATATAAGGCATCTGTACAATTTGAAACACCCCAATGTACACATAGATATGTATAGGATATTTAATTCTCAAAATTCCAAACAAAAAAAATACTTAACGAATTTTATGATTTGGTTATAATCAAGCTGAAGTCGTTCTTATTCAACCATAAATGCAATTTATTTGCAATTATTGTTTAAATTTTATGTTGTTAGCATTTGTCTGAATATTTCGATGCCAAGAATGTGAAATTATTTCAAATATGTTACGTCTATGAACATTTATAGTCAAAAATTACAATTACGTTGATTGATTGATTAAATGAATAAATGAATAAATAAATAAATAAATAAATGCATTTATACTAAAAGTTTTCAACAATCAATTAAAATATTGCCGCAGAAGGTTAAAATTAAAATCAAAATCAAATTTTGCGATAGTCATCACTTAACTTATCTGTTTTATTTCATTTAATGCTTAATGTTTGATATATACATATAAACCTTTCATTGAAAGTACTTGCGCAAACCCAGCAAACATAAGTTCTCTACAGAATAATTTCAACGCAATAGAGATTGACGGAGATAAACTCGTATACGGAAACATTTCACTTTATAAAGAAAATATGAAAGATATCTGTATATGTATAAATATGAAGAGGTAAAATCTCCGTTTGATGGGTACACTTTAAGGGGAATCTCACTCGCTTATGAACCATGTATCGCTTCAAAAAAAACCTATCAATCGCAGACATTACCGGTTTGTTGCTTGCAAGACTTTCTCCACAGATCCATTTTTCCAAGTTGGAAAGCAGATAACAATCCAAATCTGCGCCCGTGTATTAACCTATCGAGCTCGCGCATTTTTAGTGAAGTAACATCCAATATCTAATAACGTTTTTTCGCGGCGCAATTTTCTTTCTATCTTCTCTGATGCGGTCATTCTTTTTTTTTTTTTCTTTTGATAGCTCATTGGGTTGCTTGTCTTGCCAGTCAACTCAGCGGGCTCGCTTAAATTAGAATCTAATTTCGCTTGGGGATATGGGTCAGACTGTGAGACCTTCCAAATAATTATATTTTATTACATTTTTACAAACATCACTTACAAAGGATTTTTGGATCTTCAGATCAAGCCAGTATTTAAAAGATGACCTTCAAATAGATTATGTATATTGAAGCGTTGCTTGGGCACAATGTATATAAAATAACTAAAAATTTATCACTGTATGTATATCAGCTGAAGGTTTTTAGAAGCGTGACCTAAATATTCGCAAATCGATTGTAGGGAAATACAGAAAGTGAAATATAATTAACTCCTTTTTTTGAACCCAAACGTTATCTTCCAAAAGATTACAAAAAAAAAAGAAGAAAAATAGTTAAATTTTCATATTCTATACTAGTGGTTGGGTGCGGCTGATTTCCAGAATAAAAGTATAGAAATTTGTACGGTGTAGGTGTCGTACTTTACGAGTAACAGGCAAAGGTGTTCACAGTTTCAGTTGCATAGGTGTGTGGGCGTTGTAGGCGTGCCCTTTGAAAAGTTTAGATTATGTTAAAATTCTTCTACAAATTTGTAGGAAATATCTTCAATTTTTACGAAGGGGATTTGTGTGTATTATCGACACTACACGCTGGCGCAGGCTGACATATGGATAGATGAACAGATGAACATGCTTGACTGCCGGGAGAATGATTACAATAGACGGACGGACGGACGGACAGACAGGCAGACAGACAGATAAACTGGAATTCTTGCGATGCTGATGAAGAATATATATGCTCCGATGATGTGATGTAGTATTTCTGGACACTGCAAACATTCTCACAAAATGCATATATATCACTCATCCGTCGGTAATGGATATGGACTAGGAAGCAAATGACAGAGTTATACTTTTTGTTAATTGCGGCCTAAACTGATTCGATTGATTCGACTAATTTAACTGAGTTTTGAAGTCTCATGCTCTATGGGGATTACAAACCGTATTTAACTTTACCCTCAGCAATGAAATTTGAAAAAAATCCCTCAACAGGTAATGAAAAAATATCAGACTAATAAAATATTTACATAAAAATTTATTTGCCAAAATAAATTAGTTTAGTTTATTTTTTGTTTTATTTTTTTTTATTTTTTTTTTTTTTAATAAATAAAAAAGAAAAAAAAAAAGTATTATATTATTTATGGACTCAACAACCATAGAAATTACATGTTAGCGGTTGAGTGCTAAAAAATTGCTTTGCATGTGCGAGTTCATGTTATGAGAATTTCCCCCCCTCCCCCCACCCGAAAAAAAACAAAACAAAAAACACTAACAAAAAAAAAAGAAAAGAGAAGAGAGAGAAAAATAAACACATTTTGTATATGTATCCGCATGACAATTATACTTTTAAGCAAATATTCGTTAAGGTTCCGCATAGCTTTTTTTTTTTTTTTGTTTTTTGTTTTTTTTTTTTTTTGTTTTAATGGAACAACCACACTAAGCATTAGTGCATCTGTTTGGTGTTAAGTAGGTAGGTTGTGTACAATAAAACAAAAAAAAATAAAAAATAAAAAAAATAAGTAAAAGAATTATATCAAATAAGTTTTCCCCTTTCTTTAATTTGAAAAAGTCACGCGTTCATAGATTTATGCTTTTTACGTAAAATGAATACAAAAAAAAAAAAAAAAAAAATTAATAAGTAAATGAAAAAAATTGAATTTCCGCTGCATAGAGCAGCATAAAAAACGTACAAAATGTAAAAATGTGTTGTGTCAAATTTTCATATTTAAATCAAATCTGAGTGAATAAACAGATGCATACTCGGAAAAAGCTTAATGTATTTTTTTTCCGCATGTGGCCATTAATTTTTAATGAAGAATTCATATACATGCACATAATGAAAGAAGCATAGATACATTTTTGTATACATATTTTCGTACAAATATACAAAGATATATATATACAAACAAACATACATGCAAACAGATATCCATTTGTGAAACACAATAGGCAGATCGTTGATAATATTGTTTTTTTTTTTTTTTTTTTTTTTTTTTTTTTGTGAATGCAGCAACACTCTGCAATAAACGGAGTTATATTGAAATTGCGTTGGTGAGAATTCCATTAACGAAAATGAAAAATAAATTTTGGCTTAAAACCATGGAAAAAAAAAAAAAAAAAAACGCAAAACAATAAAAAAATTTCTATTCATAAGTAGAATCTCGTAATGCCTTTCCGGTTTTTCGTCTCCACCGCTACAGAGTAAAGGTAAACTTGTTTCGTAATTCCGTTCGTAACACACCCAGTTAATCTTTATCAAGTAATTAGTTTATGTTACGTTGTTTGGTTTTTTTTATTATTTATTTGAAGGTTATGCTGTCCATTGCAGTACATGTTGCAATTGTAATAAGGAAAAGTGTAATATACATTCGAAAAACTTTATAATAATTCACAAACAACATATTACCTATCACATTTTGATAAGAAAAGAAAAAAAAAAAAAAATTAAAAAAATTATACAAAAATTGACTATGCATTAGCATTGCTTTAGCCGAAGCTGTTGTGACGACTTAATTTTTTTTTTGTTTTTTTCTCAACAATCATGACAAACCTCAGCAATTAGAATGATAGCAAGATCAGTTATTTTTGACACAAATCGCAAGAATTGATTATCATACGGCGAAGTAATATA